CTCTTGAACGTCACGCTTCTTGTAGCATGGTCACGACAGCTTTTTGAGGCAGAGCTGCGTAAGACCCTTCCGCCGTTTTCGCGGCTTTTTCGGATCTTGCCGGCCCACTGCCTTCGGATGTTTGGGCGGGAGAAACGGGCATACTGCGCTGCGCACCAAGTTTCGTAGTGACTGCAGTGACTGGCGCATGCCAAGTTTCTGAAATTGGAAAGAGACATCCACCACAGCAGGTCCTTGGACATATTTACAGACCTCCACCAAATCCAGCCTGGAACTCCTCCAACCTCCTCGACCCTGCAGGACTGTAGGCGAGGCTGTCAAAGTCAACCGTCACGGAGGAAAGTCAGAAACCGTGAGTCGGAAATCAAGAGGCGAAAGTCAGGAAACAACAGAGGCAGTGTCAGGAAACAGCGTGGGGAGGAGTCAGAACCATGGAGATACGCAGCTCCATTCCTCTCTCGGCCACGAGAGTCTAGCTTCTGACGTAAGAGCGTCATGTTGACTCCTCAAATGCTTTCACTTTGCTAGCTGCAGTCGCCGTCAAAAAGGTCCGACTTAGTGGTTGTTCTTGTCCCCCTAGTGTGCTGAACCTGTCACAACAGATAAATTAGCTTCAGAAGCTCAAGAAGTACCAGTTCCAGCGTCCACGCCCGCCACGCCCTGGCAGCTACTCCTGGTGTCGTAATGGAAGGAGTACATGAAGGACCCCCTACGCTTCAACATGCGGTCTACCGACATTGCAGAATCAGATGCGATCAGGCTCCCCGCCGAACTGAGGCTCTGGGAGCACGAAGAGAACACGAGAGCAGTGGTCAACTTAGAAATGCAAGAACTTTGACACTTTGCCGATGAAATGCGCAATGCCAGAATTGCAGTAAGGTTGGCGGTTCAATGGCTTGGGGCCACACAGGCAGCGTTACAATGCTACTGCTACAACGGAAGAGACCGAACACGTTATAACCCGTCTTGTCGAGATGTCCGAAAGGGTTGACCAACAGGAGATTGAGATGTCAGAAATGAGGAAGGCTTTTGAAATCGGCCGTTCCGAAACTGTTTCTGTTCGATTCTGTCACGTAGGTTCAAGCAGGAACTCAAGGCCCATGGGGCAGAACGCAAGCACGTTCTCACAACTGAGGAGATAGAGTTTGACTCTCTGATTCAGGATCTTTCGGAGTGGAACGTAGAGCTGCAGCGTGCGCTAGGTGAGGCGGTGCGATCTTCAGGCGCGTTCGGCTCCTGAGGGTAGTTGGGGTAGTTTTCCACAAGGAACGGCCCAGGTAGCGGATGAGAGCAAGGAACCCGTAAGCCCTGCAAAACTCTGCGCTGAACTGGTTGAATACCAACTTTCCCGATCCTTACATGATTCCTGGTTTTCAAGGCAAAGCATTCCTCAGAACTCCGGAAAATGCAACTCCCCGCGAGGAACATGCTGCGTCCCGCGATGATGTCCCCGAAGCACTCCAAAGCAACACTTGATAAACCGTCACCCAAGCCCCTCTTATGAAAGCCTTACAGTCTGTGCTTAGCAAGGGCAACGAGGGTGGCAAGCCAAAAGTGACGTAGTGCGACCATCAAGCTTGGACTTTCCGACACCAACACTTATCGCTCGCACGCGAGGCCATCCCTGCAGTTTCTGACAGGCCAGACGAAGTTTGTATCTGGGTTCAGGCCGGGTCAGCAGACATTGGAGGGGTCGCATGATCCAGGTAAGTGTCCTACCCGACACGAAGCTCCTTTCTGACATCAGCAACGTGGTAAAGGGCAAACTAGCGCGTCAAATCTTCAGTTATAAGGAGTCCGAAGCCACGCGCAAGAGCTGTCCGAGGTAGGCAGGGGCTGTGGATGTTTGAGCAGTTTCTCAAGACCAACGAGGGAGCGGGCGTGCTTTGCTCCGTAGAAGATCTCCTGGAGGTTGTACTCGTGAACGATCATTTGAGTAGGGTTATCCACAATTGGCAAAGCGTGATTGCAGGAATGTTCCGTGTCCCGGAGGAAGTAACTTGGAGGGACATGTTGCTTCCCCCGCGCCAGAGGAGAAAGGCAAAGGCAAAGGTGGCAGACGAGGTAGAGAGTTAGCTTTTGTGCATGGACCAAACCATTCTCAGCAAGCAATATCATCAACACCATGATGATGAACATCATCGGCGCTGGGCTTAAGGGGTCCGCGGTTGACAACCGCTTGCCATTGCGTGGGATGCTAAAGAAGGAGTTCGGTGTCCCGTGCTGCAGGCCAGGGTTGTGTTTCTGTTGGGTCTTAGCCGTTTACAGTGGTAGCGGAGCCCCTGGGAGCGACCAGGGGCCTGTACAGGACCACGAGACGCCGCTCTTCCACCGCACGCAGAAGGTACAGAAGGAGGCCACAAAGAGGTGGCAGGAGGCGCAGGCTGGAGGCGGCTCGGGAGGCGCAGGCTGAGGAGGCGGGCAAGGGCGCCGGGTGCGAGTCGCCGGGGCAACAGCAAGGGCTTGCAGCGCAAGTCGCCGAGGGCAAAGGCCGGGCTGGGGGCCGCAGCCGCCAGAGGGCGAGGCGGGGGCGCGATCCGTTCCCTGAGCAAGGGCGTCCACTTGACCCCAAACCGGGCGTCAAGATGGCGCGAGTGATACACTTTTGGCACGCCTGGGAACTTGGCGCGGTGAATAGGCTCCTGAACGAATTCAGGAACGCGCCGCAGGTGCGGGAGGAATTGAATAACATTTCCTGGAGGGAATACCAGCAGTCTGGTTACGGACGCCGGGGCGCCTAGTCGCCATTCCCGCACCTGCGAGGGCGCAAGTCGCCGAAAACCAGGGCGCTTGTCGCCGGGCGTGGGCGCCAGTCGCCTTTGTGAGGGCCGGAGGCCGACAGCTGGCCTGTAGGGTGAAGGTTTTTGAGAACCTGTGGCCTGAAGGCAAGAAGTTTCCTTACTAAGTCTAGCGCCCTTTAACACACGTGCAGAAACCATGCTAAGGTCCTAAATAGGTTTACAGGGCCAGATCTTCGGGCGTAGAACCTTAAATGCCACAACTATCGCGCAAGCTTAGGAGCCGTCAGGCCACAGGCGAAGTAGGAGTAGCTCAAGCCTACGCGGCAGCGGACAGCAGCACGGGCCAAGCAAGAAAAAGTGTTCATTTGCTGGTACAGTAAGCATCCTCACCCTAAAGCCTAAACCCTATAAACCTTAAACCCTAACCCTAAACGCTCAAGTCCCAGGCCCCTAACCCTCCAACTTCGGAGCTTGCGCCAGCTCAGCATGGAAGCAATGTGCAATTCATGGTACATGCCAAGATGGCTCCAGATATCAGGTAGCAGCACGAGCAGCAGCATGTCACAGCTGGAAGTTTGACATTCAGGCTTCCAACACAATGAGCAAATCTACCACAATTCTCAGAAAAATCCAGAAATAAAATACATTCACCCAAGACATGATTTGGAAAATGTATCAACCAATGGAAATCAAGGTTTAAATGCTAAATTTACAAAAATAAATTTGCTCTCAAAAATTTTGAGAGCAAATTTACAAAAATAAATTTGCTCTCGAAAATTTGGATAGCAAATTTACAAAAATACATTTGCTCTCAAAATTTTGGATAGCGAATTTACAAAAATGAATTTGCTCTCAAAATTTTCGGATGCAAATTCATTTTTGTAAATTTGTCATTCCAGGTTCTCCAGCCATGCGTTTACATTTCTCATGAGAACATCATGATGTCATTTCTCTGAACATGATGCAGTGTTTCATGATTCTCATCACGGTTATGCGTAGGGGTTGTGCCGCAAGCGACAAGAACCAGCACCGCAATGTCATGTCTGGGTTTGTTTGTGGCTTGCTGTCGAAGAGCTGGTAGTGCTAGCCATGGCGGCCGCCGGCAGCCAAGGATTCAACCAGGATGTGGCTGAATCCTCGCAAGAAGCGGGCGCGGAGTCGCCGACTGAGTGTGGCGCGAAGACGCCGAAGCGTGAGGGCGCTGAGTCGCCGGTCTCTCAAGCCTTTTTCGTGCTGCCAGATGGCAGCACAAGGCCAATGAGCAAAGAGGAAGTGGCACATGTTGCCTTCCACGATGCCCTCGTGGAAGAGGATAAGCAGGATGACTTGCGAAGGTGGGCGCAGCACGAAGTCGCCGTGAGGAGCGAGGCTTGCGCGCAACGCGCAAACGCAAGCAAGAGTACGGGCTTCGCCCGCGACACGCGAGCCGACTTTCCCCGCCCAGCCGTTCTCAGGGCATCCATTGCCGAGGTGCTCACGGAGCTTCGAACGCAAGAGCTGGCGGAGGAAATGGCTTTTATAGCCGCCGCAGCGATTGCGGTCGGGGAGGAGGGCGAGGCTTTGCGTTGGCTCCTGCAGGATGTGCTTGCAGCAGGCCCGCCTGGAGGCCCGTCACAGCGACCACCACCTCTGGGCGCAAGCCGCCGTCTTGGAGAGCTTGAGTGCGTTGATCGCAGCCACGCCCGCAGGCCCGCGCAAGGACAGGCTTCTTTTGGCCAGGGCCGCAGCAGCGCGTGTTCGCGGCATCCTCGTGGATTTGGCATGAGTCCTCAGCAAATGAGGCACCTGCGTGAGCGCGGACGTGGCACATGCTGCAAAATGACACTTCCTGCACATGGGCAGCGGACGCTTTTGTTTTCATAGTGCGCGGAAGGTTCTGCGAATGCTTGTGCTCATGCTGATGCACCCAAACGGTCCAAGCACTGCCTCAAGCAACATGTCTATTGCGAAGGCTTCTGTTTCCACAATGCGCAGAAGCCTCTCACATAGGTATAATCCTCGATCATGCATGCCTGCTCATGCACCCATGTTCCTTGCACGGCCTGAAACATTGTGTCTGTACAATTCACAGCGCAGGACCACGCGAAAGACGCACGCAAGTCTCATGCATGATGACATCGAATGGTTGTTCTCAAGATGTTCTGCGCATTTCCAGCATGCTTCATATAACTGGTGACAGCAGCCATGGAGCAGCCCCCCTCGCGCAGCCAAGCCATGGCGGACTTGCTTTCGGGCGGTCGCTTGCCTTTGCCCGCTCAGGGAGGGCGCGGGCACCCCGTTGCCGGAGACGGACGATGCTCCCTTGACGCCTCTGGCGGTCAGTGACGGAAGGACCGGCCTCTCCGGCTGCATCCTCTGTGCCGGAGGTGGCTTGCGCCAACTTGTCCGTGGTGCAGGCGCGGGGGGAGCCGTCAGAAGAGTCTTTAACCGGGGAGGAGTACTTCTGGTGCTGGCTGTGCTTGGTGGCTCCTTGCCCGGACGCCGGCTTGCTACGTCCGCGTGGAGGAAGTGGACTCCTTGCTATTCCACGATCGTCTGGCCCCGTCCAGCAGCAGCACGGCGTGGCCGGATGTACAAGCTGTGGGCGTAAACCGCCGTGCACATGAGGGCTCCCGGCGCCGCGGGCCAGACTCAGATGCGTCTGAATCTAACAAACATTTCGATTGTA